TGCTGGGCATCTTTTATTTTCTATATTTTAAAGAAACCATCTACTTTTTTTCTGAACTGGATTAAATGTGCAGACATGATAACTCTTTCCAAGGGGATGAATACTGCCAGCATTTAAAAGGGTGGTGGTTTTCCCTTATACTATGGGGATAGTTCTAAAAGGTATTCACTTAGTTCCTTCTTTTGTTTTTTGGGTGGTTTTAATTTCAGAAAAAGAGGTGCATGGGTGGTGCATATGTGCTAGGAGCCTTTATTTGGGGGTGGGGTGACCTAAAAGGGATTACATGTATTCCTTCATCATTACTAATCATTTGAAGAAACAATAAATTTCTGAAAATTGAAAATTTTTTGTAGAAAATCAAGCAGCGGGTTTTATTTAGTTTTTTGAAAATGTGTCACCCTGTATTACTGAAATAAACACACCTGGGATAGCAATTAATTGTTTTGCATTTTATCAGTTTTTATGTCTGACTGTTTTCCCCTACTAAAACAAATCTCTATTGAATTTTGCCTCTGCGATTCACACTTTTGCGTTAAACTCATGCATGCATCCTGCTGCTTGGCCTTTACTTACTTGAGATAATAGACTGTAGGAGTTGATCAGGACAATTTGAAAGATCTGTGTTCAGCATAGTAGGGGGTGGCATAGACACTGAGGAACATACGAAACTAACGTTGTACATTCAGTTTCTTCTCTTCACATTCTGTCCTGCATTAACATTCACAGTTGGCACAACTAGCCTGACAGAGCCTCAAAGGCAATTTTTATTTTCTGAGTTCAAGCAGCTGCATGAAACTGGGTTAAGCTATTACAGTTCTCTTGTTCTGCAACTCACCCCAAGGCTGGAAAGGCAATAATAGGATGACTTTGCTGGTCCAATTTCTGGTTCTGTCACAAGATCTTTGATTTCTTAAATCACCAGGACTATCGCTACATAAATTTTGGGAATACAAATACGCTGCAGTAGAATTTCCTCTGACAGTGAATGATAGAGCAAAATGAAGAATGAGGCTGTGCAATGACCATGAAGTCCCACACTGTACAGTCAGAATGGCATGCTGCAGTTCTTGGTTGCAAGTGACATGGGGAGTGGCAGATGCCTGTTTGAATGTTCAGCATTTAAGCAGTTTCCTGCATATAGAAAAGTAACCAGAGGGACAGAGGATTACATGCAAACACACCTGGCATAAGTGATCTGCCTAAGATGAAAGGTGGCAAAATATTTAGCCAAGTTTGGAAAGATCCTATCTCCATGCTGTGATTTCTGATACAGCAATTTAAGTGCCTCCTCCTCCTCCTCCTCCTCCTTGCACTGAAACATAACATTATTGATAACCAATTGGAAGCACATAAGAACAGATGGAACGATCAATATGAGGATGGTTTGGAATAAAAATAGGCATTTTGGGACTATTTTCATTTGGACAGCAGCAGTTTTCCCTTCAAACCGACAAATTTTTATTTTACCATTTCTTCAGATATTTCTTGATCTGTTTTGTTGGTGGCAAAATGTGAAAAATTTGTTGAGATTGGGGGGGGGGACTTGAACTCCCAAGTAACAAAAGCATTTATGGCAAATGGGTATCTTATTTCAGATACAAATCTATTCTATGTTCTCAGGCGTGGGTTAATGATCATTTCAGATCTTAAATAGTATGGAGGTCTGCCACTGGTTCAAAGCCAGGAGTTCTTCATTGAGCTTAAGGAGCACTGCAATTGAATCACAGAACATTAGGGCCACATCTGCGTATAAATTCAACTGGTGCTCAATGACCTTCACCTGATAGTGATGCCTTAAAGGTATTTCTGGTTTGCGGGGCAGCAGAAAGAGATAACCAACCTGATTTGTGCCACAGTGTAACCATAATGGTTTTCTGTCCAGGCCAATAGTCTATATAGTGGACCTATTACGCTGATACAGTTGGGCTGAAGCTTATACAGAATTCCTTCCCAAACAATACACTTCCAGGGTTTAAAAAAGAAAGCCCCACTCTAAAGTATCAAAGGCTTTAAAGGTATCTAATAACACAGTTACCAAAGGATTTTCGAATGCTTGCTATGGTAGATAAGTATGAGCACAATATCAAAATTTGGCAGCTAGGGACTGTTCTGATCTGCAAGGCCAAAGGAGGGTCTGGGTGTGTGGTTTGATGCAGGGATACCCAAGGAGGATGCTATTATAGTAATAGCATCAACTGTTAGCTTTTCTGTCAAGTGGAATTTTGAGAATTTCCGTACCAGGTTATATAATTTACAACTGCCATCCATACCAGATTATGTAATTGTTTTATAATAGGTTTTACTAATTCTAAACAATTTTACTTTATAATTACATTTTATGCAGATTAATAATCCTTAAGACTAATGTACAGATGCCAGCTTGGTGTGATAGATTGCCATATATAACCAAAAGAGATGCAGTTTGGTCCCCAGTTACCACTTACTAGAGTCAGCTTAAATTATCTAGGTATATCTAGGTATATATCAAATTATCTAGGTATCATCTGTTTAACAAAAGTGTGTTTATTCTCTCACATATAGAAAAATAGCATCCCAAGTTCAAAGTACATTTAGAGAAGTAATTACAATAAATACACTTTTGATTGTTAAAAGCGTGGCTTAAATATAGGTATACCTCTGTTTGATCTATATTGTGATGACCTTGAATTTTAACAAATTCATTTGTGCAACATTTTATTGACACATGAAGTTTTAGTATAAATAATTGGTTTCTAAGTAAAAATAATATTATTCATATACGATTATAAAGCACCTGCTTTCTTAAGCTTATCTATTAAAGAAAATTTAGTTTACAATCATCTTAGTGATAATTGAAGGACAAACACAATTTGGTGTGTAAAGCAAACATTCCCCAGTTTTTTTGTAGTCATGCTTGCATAAGAAACATAGTTAATGACCTGAGCATAAGGAACATAGTTTTCTTTTGTTATCAGCTTTCCCAAACTAATTGTACATTTGGAATGGGCTAGTAGGTTAAGGTCTGGCTCAGCAGCACCATAGAGTTCTCCCCGTAAAGGTGGGCATTGTTTCAATTATGATCTAACCCCAACATAGCTCCTGGAAAGGAAAGCAAAAGTCCTGTGAAGAAGACTTTAAAATACCCTGTTGAATAGCAAGCACCAATGTTACATTTCAAACTTCACTTTTGCAACTCTGTTAAATTTATAAAAGATTTGCCATGTGGGTGGAAAAGAGGGTTACTTTTCAAAACTAATGAGTTAAAAGCCCCACTTGTCTTGCCTAGCTTAGTCCCATAGTGAACAGTTATCTGGATTGTGGCCTATGCCTTGAAAATATCACCAATGTCATTTTATTCCCTGGCATTTACATAGGAGCAATTGATATTTAAACCACACTTTAATATAAAAAGTGCTGTATTAGACCTTGCCACTACTGAGGTTCATTGTTCAAAAACATCCAGGAGCATGTCAGACATGAAGCAAATAAAGTTCAGTGTGACATTGGGGAGCTGCCTTCAGGTCAGTTCTGGCATTGTGAAGTACTCGAAAAAGCATTACTACTTGTTAATACTTTTCACAGGTAGATTCATCTACCAAACATTTATTTTGGCTTCCAAAAAAACTTTAAAGGAACATTTCACATGGAAGCAGCTTAAATAGCTTTGCATTTATTTACTGTGCAAATACAGTATTGTAATACAAATTTCCAGGAAAATCTGCCTTTGATAGTCTTTGAAACCTTTTGAGCAGCTCTCGTGCACGCTCTCTCTCTCTCTCTCTCTCTTGATTCTCTGAACTTTTGGCACAGCCACACATTCCAGCTATGCAACAAAGTGGTGTGATTTGTGCGTTATGCTCCCGTTTCCCTAAATAAATAAATCAATAAAATCTCCCCTGCAGTAGCGATAGAAAGCAAGTGTTCACTCAAAGATTAGGGTCTTATGATGATGTATCTGATGTTCCGTTGTTGTTGTTGTTGTTGTTGTTGTTGTTGTTGTTATATGCTTGAATGGTGGTATTGAAATTTTAATCCTGAATGGCTATTGCCATGCTTAATTAACAAGCACCTCAAAAGAGAATCTACTTCTCCACCAACTGCTACCAGCAGGTATTGACAAGATAGCCATGTAAACTCTGCAGGTGTCTGCTGATATCCTTAAAGGAGCAGAAAAACAAGCTCTTTTTCAGCATCCTTCAAGGTGGGGTGGCTTTGTATATTAGACTGCAAGTTTTCCTGGAAGATGCAGTTAGGAGATTGCTGAAATCTATTGCTAATGCTCTAACTGCTATTGTAAAAAGTATCCTATCAACCCCATGTTGTCAGCACTTCCAAAATTGCTATTATTTAAAAAGGAATAATTTCTAGGAAACTCCAAGATGCGAAAAAGAAACTTATGTTGAATGATTCTGAGGAAATAGTGTGCATTTATAATCTTACTGTTGTGCAGATGATTTTTCGTGCATCATGGCTGTACCCTTGAAGCCGTCATTTTCTCATAATAGCAAGATTCTTTCTTGCCTACCTCAGTTGAAATTTTAATTGGCCTACTAAAACTTTCTCATGGGTAGAGGGAAACATATTTTTTTTTTTGTATTCTAGTAATCCTATTTAGTCTTAATCACCCACTAAAATATAATGTGGCCCATATATAAACTTCAGAATGGATACAGACACACACACACACACACACACACACACACACACACTTTTTTCCTAAACCCTACACAAGGAAATGCTTAACATTTATATCTTCTTCAATGCCTGTGTGTTAATATCCCAAGGCATATTTTAGCATATTCTTGCTCAGCCAGGATGCACTGTGCATTAAGACAATGGGCGCTGCTCACTGAAAACAAAAGTTGCCAAATCAGATGTTCACATACTGTTGCTAAGCATGTCACCTGGAATATTTCCTCTGATCCAGAATTCTATTAAAGATTACCTTGCCCAGTAGGTGAGAGTTTTGTGGGGTATGTTGCTGTGTTTTCAAGACATTAATGTGTATGTTTTCCTTACAGGTCTTAATAAATTCAGAAAGAAACATTACTCTATGGGCTGATGATGTGATTTCCTCCTGTCACAGTACAGTTGCTGGAACAATTCTCATTTCCAAGAGTTTCTAACAATTGCTACACAATAAATCCAGGTAAGCACACTTTTGAGCTGTCCAATTAGCTTTCCCCCCATAGATTTACAATAATTATCAATAAAGTGTTAATTAAAAAAAATCTCTCACACAGTGACATAACTGTTCCATGTATTCTTTGTCCCCTGAATGGATGTTGTGTTATTTCAGGGAAATGCCGTATGTAAAGCAGACACAATCAAGGATTGGTCTCTTAATTCATACTTAGATTGTTCTCATCTGCAAGTGTCATGGGTTCTGTGGAGACGTCTTGGAGCTGGTAGTCAACTGTGGAAGATGACCGGGGGAAGATGGGGCAGTTTGAGCTGGATTACCTGAGGAATGACCTAGCACAGTGGTGGCCAAACTTGGCCCTCCAGCTGTTTTGGGACTACAATTCCTATCATCCCTGACCACTGGTCCTGTTAGCTAGGGATGATGGGAGTTGTAGTCCAAAAACAGCTGGAGGGCCAAGTTTGGCCACCACTGACCTAGCAGGTTGTGGGAGGAAAGACTGGAATCTCAGAAGTTGTCTGGCTCTGAAGAAAGGGCCCAGTGGCCTGGGAGGTAGAGGTTCAGATCTTGGGAGGGGGGGGGCAAGCCTAAAACCACCTGCAGTGGAATTGCCTCTGTTGGCACCTCCTGTCAGTGAAGAGTCCCTTCTGGGTAGGCAAGACTTGGACTGCTTGCCTTGCAAATAGCTGTGCCCACCCTGCACTTTGAAAGGAAGATGCAGGGGAGAGATTACACGTTGGATCAATGTCTTAGCCTCCACTTAGCCACGTATTTTAACCTCTACTGTAGCATGGAACCAAGACATTGTAACCTGACTTATGTACAGCTCATTAAGTGTTCAGCAGTTGATCTTAAAGAGTTCCCATTCTTTGTCCTGTATTGATAGCCAGGGCAGAAGTTCATGCAATTTCATAGCAAGCTACTATAGCAGCATATTGATTGCTTTGTGTTGCCATTTTTGCCACGGTAATTTGCTATCTTGCATCTCCACTTCCATATAAAAATGGGGTGTTTCCTTTCCTTCACTATGTGTCCAGTGCCCTATTGCCCTTGTCTACATCACTGCAATTAACTAATTAAAATCCTATTGTGCAATAATAGTAACCTTCGTCAAATTATATGCTTTGCTCTCTGCTTTTCTCCTGTTGTGCATTCATATGTTTATTTGAAATGTTTATTTGAAATATAGCTCAGGAATAATGTCTCTTTTTTAAAACAAAAACAAAAACCTCAAACTACTCAACCATCTAAATGTTAGATTATCATGCTGTTAGTGTGTGGGCACAATGCAAACCAAACATAATTGGTTTTTAAAAAAACCCTAGAACTGATACATTAAGAAAAATATTCTTTCTTATTTAAATAAGAATGGTGTGGGGGCGGAATAGGGATTCAGATTCTAAATCCACTTGAATGCAAAGGATTCCGAGAGAAAACTCTCATAGAAATTGGCCCTTCACAATAAATAGTTAAGAAACTGAAAGCATTGCAGAATCTTAGCTCATTCAATCTCTGACTTAATTATATGATCAGAGGGTGACACTGAGATGGAAGTGAATTAGCAGCATGGAAAAGATAAGACCAATCGCTTTCCAAGGCTCTGTTAAGGTCTCATTCTTTATGCCAGTCGCTCCCCAACTCCCCCCCCCACACACACTTGAAAATTGCTGAAGGTCTTGGAAGACCACTTAATGATGTTTTTGCCTGTTGTAGCAATTGTAATGTTCTGTGCTAATTGATGTAATACAGTGGTACCTCCAGTTGAGCATGCGATCTGTTCCGGAGCTCCAGTTGGATCCTGAGGAATTTGCAACTGGAGTTGCTGCTTCTGCGCATGTGCACAGCATGGTAGAGCGCTTCTGCACATGCACGCGCAGCGAAACCCGGAAAAATACTTCCAGGTTTGCCGCGTTCGCATCCTGAAGGATACGCAACCAGAGGTGTGCATATCCAGAGGTGCCACTGTACAATAAAATGCAATATTTAAAAAATCATACAATATGAATTCCATAAAGCTTTACACTGTTCTTTGCAGAAAGACATACTGTAGACCACCTGAATGAAGCTCACAGATCACTGGTAGTCTGTGGGCCACAGTTTGGGAATCCCTGCTATAAGCTGCACAAGCAGCTTTTATAAATTGATACCTAGGACACCAGAGATCATAGAAGGTGCACAGCAATCATGGAATTAATTGTAGTAACACAGAATTTGATTAACTAAACAGGGTTGCAATCATATATTTTCATATCAGAAGAATCGTAAATAAATAAATACTTTAGTACTGTAAAGGCATAATCTGGCTTAAACAGTATCTGTGGTGTCATTTGATGGTTGGTTGAAAAATGATCTATTGATGCTTACTGATTTATAGAATATGCAAACATTGCCTCATAAAGTATTTTTATTCAGAAAATTCTCGTTCCTTCAATCCTTACAAGTAAGATGTTATATGCAAAGAAGATACTGGTTTTTAATTTAAACAGGACACCCTTTGAAGGCCTTATAAATAACAATTGAATAATTAGTGGTATCCAAAACATATAAATAATTAATGGATGTTAACGCTATAGAAGCGTTGAAACAAAAGGGAACATGGATACACATTTCATATTTATTGAAGCATAAATTATGAAAAGAAATTCATAAATATGCCCATAATTTTTATAACTTTAACAGTGGTCTAAATTCTGGCAGTTTAAATGCTTTGGAGTATAGGCTAATTGAAATCAAGAAATTATTTTTCAAAAAGGGTTGATGAAGAGTTATGCAGACATTGTGGGAGAAACAGATAAATAACATTCCTTTATTTCAGTATTTACAAATCAGACATAAATAAGTATGGTTCTTAAGAGTGCGCAGTTTTTGAAGTGGTGATATGATATAACTCAGCTAAGAAAATCTTGATACGGTAAATGGTGTAGTGGAAGCATATTTTTTATTTGGAGTAATCTCATCAGCTGCTGTTTATGTTACACTCAAGTTAAGGATACTTAGCATTTTAATTATTGTATGCTGCATGTTTTCCTTTGTACATATACTTATTCTGTATTATTTTTGTTTGTTTATTGTGGAATGGTTGCTCAATAACTAAATATGGCCTTAATACCAGTCTAGGGCATTTTTAAATAAAACATTATCATCATATTACTTAAAAATTAAGTTCTATATTTAAGATGTAAATGATTTAACAGTACTTTCTTCCACATTTGGAAGTATTGCAGCTTTTACAATTGGGAGATAGCATTAAAGATGTTATTTGTAGAAAATACTATTTTAGTTTCTATTTGCTGTAGTGGGCTATCTGAAGGATAATAAATTGAAACTAAACCTTGATAAAGAGATGCAGTGGCTGGACAATTTCTGGGTTTGGAAATTAGGAAACAGCCTGGTCTTTATAGGGTTGCACTATACTTGTAGGAGCTACTGTGTAGTCTGGGATTGCTCATTTACTGAAGGCCAAGGTTCCTGCAATGGTTCAGAGTACTGTTTCCCAGCAATATCTAATTCCAGGCATGGATAGCCTGGCCACAGTAAGGCGCACTCAGATAACTTCCCATTTGGATTACTGTAATGTGCTGTACATAAGGCTTCTCTAAAACAGGAGCTGGCACAAACTGTGGTGGCTCAACATCTAAGTGGCTTCTAGAGCAACATTGCACCACTCAGTCTCCTCCTTACCTGGCCACACATATCCAATTCCCTCAAAAGCTTTGGTTTCCAAACACTTTATCCTCTGCACACATTTCAGCTTGTCAATATCCTCTTAAATTGTGATTTGCAGAACTGGACACAGTACTCCAGGTGTGGTCAGACCAAGGCAGAATAAAGCAGTACTATGACTTCCTTTGATCATGACACTATACTTCTGTTGATGCCACCTTAGAATAGCTTTAGCTTTTTTTGCTGCTGCATCACACTGTTGACTCCTGTTAAGTTCATGGTCTGCTAAGACTCTTGGCCCCTTTTCACATGTAATACTGGCAATCCAGGTATCCCCCAACTTATATTTGGGCAGCTGGTTCCTCCTGCCTAGTTCTCCAATATGTTACTGTCATTTTGAATCCTGAATCTGTCTTTTGTGGCATTAGCTATCCTTCCTAGTTTGGTGTCATCTGCAAATTTGATGAGAATCCCATCAATTCCTTCATCCATGTCATTTATAAAGATGTTGAACAACAACAGGCCCAGGACAGAACCCTGCAGGACCCTGCTTGTCATTTTTCCCCCAGGATGTCAAGGATCAGTTAGTGAGCACTCTTTGGGTTTGGTCAGTCAACCAGTTACAAATCCATCAAACGGATACCTCACCCAGTCCACATTTTACCAGTTTCTTCACAAGACTGTCATGGGGGGGGGGCTTTGTGAAAAGCCTTGCTGAAATCAAGATACATTATGTCCACGGCATTTCCCTGATCCACCAAGCTTGTATATTAAAAAAGAGAGATTTGTCTGGCATTACGTCAAGTTAGGGGGCCTAAATAAATAAATAAATAAATAAATAAATAAAATTATCGATACATTTCCTTTTCTCTACCTACCATATGTTATTAACGTGTGTTTAAACACAGAGTTGATACACTGACTGCGGTTGACTCTGTGTTTATGTGTACTGCTTTACTATTATAATTAACTGCATGTATTCAAGGATCTGCTTACCTTACTTTTTTTAAAAAATCCTTTTTCATTTCTTGAAAATTTCAGTGTAAATAAAGGTGCTCGACTCATTATACTCATTAAAACTGAAATGAGAATTTACTAGTTTGTAAAAAGGAAAAAAAATGTAATTGTAACAACTCTATCTCAGCATAGTTTGCCAATAGCTTATTTTAATATTGTGCAATCAGATTGTCACAGTTGTGGCACAGAATAGATCCAGGACATATTTCTTTAGTGTTCAGAATAACAATCAAAACTGAGATACCACTCTAAGCCCTAATTTAAGAACCCAGGTGTTTAGACTAATCCCCTTACTTTACAGATGCTGGTTCCCTCTGTAAAAGCAG